TGTTCTCGGAACCTACCCCGACAGCGGACAGCACGTTTTGGCCGGTCGCTCCTGGCAAGAAGCTGGGTGAGGCGCAATCGCAGCTGTTGGTAGCGGACTGGTCTGAAGCGGAGGTGAAGGAGGCCCTTGACGGCATGGCGAAGGGCAAGTCTCCCGGCGCTGACGGAATCCCGAAGGAGTTTTTCAGCCAACACTGGGACTCGCTAGGGGGTGATGTGCTCGGATTCGCGAAGCAGTTTGAGGAAACGGCCGTTCTTCCTCCTGCTGCCTTGGAGGCTGTCACTGTCCTGCTGCACAAGAAGGGCGCGAAGGATCAAGTGCAAAACTACCGGCCGATCACGCTGCTCAATAGCACGTACAAGTTAGTAGCGCGGGTGCTGGCGAACAGGATGCGGAAAGTGTTGCATACGGTCATTTCGGAGGAACAGTTTGGGTTCTTACCAGGGAGAAGGCTGGCTGACGGGGTTTCGCTGGTTGCGGACATCGTTGACGCGGCGAAGTGCAAAGACGCGGATTGGTACTTGCTTCTGGTGGACTTCCAGAAGGCTTTCGACTCGGTCTCTCGGGAATACCTTTTCGGCACGATGGCGAGGATGGGTTTCCCGCGGAAGTTCGTACAGTGGTGCGAAGGGCTCCATGCTGGATCGACGACGAGGCTGTTGCTGAATGGTTGGCTGGGAGAACCGGTGGCGGTCAGGAAGGGCGTACGGCAGGGCTGCCCGCTGGCACCCTATCTCTTCCTTTGCGCGGTGGAGCCCCTCTGCCAGGAAGCAATAAGGAGGAAACTGGGAATCAGTAATCCGTACGGGGATCGGCTTGCGTACCTGGGGTATGCCGACGACACCACGCTGGTGCTCAAAGGGAAGAGGCAGATTGGCCGGGCGGTGAAGCTGCTGAATGAGTTCGGTGAGAAGTCAGGTCTTTGGGTAAACAACGACAAGTCTGCACTCCTGCCCCTGGGAAAGAACCTGCGCAAGAAACCAGACAAGGCGTCAGCTTTCAAATGGGTACGGTTGAACGAAGCGGAAAGAGTCCTGGGGGTGTGGATCTCACCCTCGGGGGATGCATCGGTGACCTGGGAAATCACCCTGTCACGTGCAACGGCGGAGCTGGTGGAATGGCAAATACATTACCTGACGACATCCGGAAGAGTCGCGGTGGTCAACGGGTACATCAACCCAATCCTCGCTTTCCAGGCGCAGGTCTACCCTCCTCCTTCGGAAATCTGGGCGAAGCTGGTGAAGCTGCTTCACAATTTCGTCACGGGTAACCACTCGACGGCAGGGAAGCACTTCGCGCTCTGGAGTCAGGAGCTGCTGTTTAAAGCAAGAGGGGAAGGCGGGCTAGGCGTCCGGGATCCCTGTGCGGAGCTGGGGGGTCTGGCGGCCAGGAGGATCGCGTTGCTGGCGTCGCAACCACTGGGACTGCGTGCTGATCTGGCGCTCGCGGCTTTGGATGTTCCTGACCTACAGGTTTTCTGGGCCCACGCGGGGTTGATAAAGCAGTGGGAAGGAAGATGTGAGAGGTGGAAGCGGACATGCGAGCTATTCCTGGAGTCCAACTTCCCTTCATGCATCAGCGTATCGTCCGTATGGGAGGTGGAGCAGGAGATGTTGCTTTTTAACCGCCGGCTGCTTTTGAACGGGAAGACGCCCGCGGGACGGCAGAAGCCGGCTAAGTCGTTGAAGCGCTCGGTGATGGGTGACTTAATCAAGGTTGCTGTGGACGGATCGAGAACTCTGAAAACTCCCCAGGAGCTCGAGCGGGCTTTCGGAGGATCGGAAGGAGCGAAGCTGGCGAAGAGGGTATACGATGCTGCTCCGGATGAATGGAAGCAGTTGCTCATGGCGCCTGTCACAGCGCGCACGGTGCTAACGGCTTCTAAGTTCGTACTAAAGGCGGGGACGAGCTACGGGGTCTGGAGGATTGAGAGTGTGGAAGGCGAAACCCTAGTTTGCCGTGCCATCAAGTGTTTCAGGGGGGCCTTGGAGGAGGCTGAGGAGAGGTTGCGCAATTTTCTGCCGCACGAGGTGGTGCCTGCAGTGGTCAGGGATGGTCGGTTCCTTGGCCCGGCGGGTGCCCCCAGGGCAAGACTGCTGTGCTCCCCCATCTGGGTGGGTGATCGGCCGGCGCAGCTAAGACAACTAAAGGAAGGTTTTAAGCGGTTTGGCGGAAAACCGAAGCAGCAGACCACATGGGAGGAGTCTCTCGGCCGTACGATCGACTGGGGGAGAGTGATCGGGGTACGGGATTCGTCAGCTCTGCCGAACCGTGCGCGGGATGTGATGCTCCGGATCCACAGCCGGAACCTGCAGGTGGGGGAGCGGTTACATTTCCTTGGCGCCGGAGTCGCCTGCCCGCACTGCGGGGAGAAGGAGACACTGGAGCACGGGTTGTTTCTCTGCCCGCGCATTCAGCCGGTGGTACGGGCGCTTTTGAAGGCTCTCCGCATGCTGAATCCGCATCGGAAAATTGAGTCTCTGGGGGATGTGTTTTTCAGGAAGGAGGGTACAGCTTCGGGGTTCCCCGAGGCTACGATCGCAGCAATCGCGTTCCACCGGATTTGGGTCGAGAGGTGTGACGCGGTTTTCGAGCGCAGCAAATTCCGGGCGAGGAGGGCTCTGCGGAGGATCGTGGCGTCTTTCCAACTGCATGTCAGGATCTACAAGCGTGCTAAGGCGGTGTCTAAGAGGCTCGGCGCCATTCGTCCTGGCTTGGATGATGACGAGTGCCGGGTCTTGGGCCACATCATGGACAACTCAGCTCAACCAGCCACGTGGTCCAAGGGGTTCATGGCAATCTGGTCGAACCCGAGGGCTGCCTTCCGCCCCCCTTAGATGGTCAGGATGGGTACGGAGGGAGCAATCCCCCTAAGCCCATCAGCTACAGTTACGACTGCCGATGTATTGTTGCACTTATAGTGTATCTTTGCATCAAAAAAAAAAAAAAAAACCACGTATGATCCAGAACAGAAAAAAGTATGGCACCCCCTCACCACACCCAGACCAGGGCTGTAGAAGCAAGGGCATTTGCCCTTAATGCCCTGAACATTCCGGCCTACGTTTCGAGAGGCTCAACCATATAAAGTGTTAGATAGGCATGGCACCCGTGACAGTTAAGGGCCTCGTTTGGGTCTTCCCCTGAATCAAAGTTTTGGTTTCTGTTTTGAAGGAGACCCCCCCCCCCCCCCACCCGAATTCCCGCCGCCATCCCCTCCCCCCCCAACCCCCACTACCCGACATTTTTGCCGACGGTGTTTTTGCGGACGATGTAGAGGCTGAAAGCGTGCAGATGAGTAGTTTGTGTGTACCTTTTCCGGCTAAGTAAGAGGAACAAAATCCTCCTGAGTTACATTAGGGCCAAAGTACACTTACCTAAGAAGCGCTGACTTCCAGTTTTGTTTTTTTCCTTCCCCCGTGAAAATCAGGGCAAGAATTCGAACAGCTCAGGACTCAAAGTTTTGGTCCCAGGGACTTCGACAGGCCTGACCCAGACACCATGAGGCCTGACTGCGACGCGGTGCTGCTTGAGGGGTCGAATGCTGGAACGTTGTGTTTTCGTCCGAGTGGTAGATATCTCAGGGGAATCCTGGGCCATTCGTGCCTTCGGTGACAAAGCACTTGGTTGTGACGCATCGGCACACAATAAACTGTTGGGACCTGATGTACATGGCCCACCCATGATTTCAGAGCCTGCCTGCCCACAATTTCAAGCGCACCGTCCTATTGAGGGCTATCTTACACGCCGTGGTCATTCCCAGGAAAGAAAAAAGAAGCAAATAATTGCCACACGTCAATGATTCATTGGTTGTCTCCGTTCCCTGTTTTCTGCAAGATCTTTGGTAATCCCATCGGCCGTCTCACAGGTCCCCTACCCGAATTAATTACTCGGAAGGAAGAAACTCTAGATTCCATCAACGAGATGCCTCTGCCTGTTGTCTTAGTTGTGCTCCAGGAGAGGCATTCAATGCCTCCAGTATAACGCCGAGTTATAATCAGTCTCAGCGACGAGGAACTTCAGCGCATTCCCACCTCGCACAACATACCACCCACATTCCATCAACGAGATACCAACAGCGCGCTCTCGCACAACATACCACCCTGCCCACCCGTTCCTCAGCCCAACAGGCTGATCCTCAGCATGGGTCTCCACCCGCACATCGTCGTGCAAGAGCACCAGCTCTACGGTTTCCAATGCCGCGGGCTGTTCGCGCACAGCTTTATCGCACAAGGCGAGGTCGTTTGCGATTGGGACGAAGGAGAGATTCGCGGGTACCACGCTTCAGACTTATCGGCGGAACCCGATAAGGAGAAGCGCGAGACAATGATTCGCTACGCGTACATGGTCGGTGACGACTTGTACGACACGACAGCCGACCCCGAGGACGATCCGAGCTTTTATTACAACCACTCGTGCGACCCCAACACATGGTACGCTAACCCGCGTTGCATGGTCGCCCTGCGAGACATTCAGCCGGGCGAGCACGTCACGTACGACTATGCCTGCACGGAGACGGAGGGTAGCATGCACGCCGGCCTGCGCTGCCGCTGCGGCGCCGCGTGCTGCCGCGGAACGCTCACATTCACCGAGTGGCGCTCGCACGACTGGCAGCGACGGTTCGCAGGGCACTGCTCGGCTTATATCGAGCGGAAGATGGCCGAGTCGGGGTGGTACGACCCGCGCGTGGTGACTCGTTACAAAGGTCGCGGCGCGGACGCCTCCAAGGGGCTGTTCGCATTGGCGAGCATCCGACGTGGCGAACCGCTTCTCGTCTTCGCCGGCAAGCTTGTCGGCCTCGATTATCTCCTAGGAAGTGACGAACGCACGCGAGAGCTCTCGCTGCGAGTCAACGACCACCTCTGGCAGGTGCCGGATCCGAAGCGTGGGCCCGAGACGCCCGACTTTATCAACCACTCGTGCGACCCTAACTGCGGACTGGAAGACTCGGTGACGATAGTGGCCATGCGGAGCATAGCGCCGGGCGAAGAGTTGAGCATTGACTACGGTAGCGCGAACGCAGGCGTCGTCCGCACCAGCAGCGATAATTTCAGTTGCCACTGCGGCGCGTCGATCTGCCGCGGGGTAGTCACGTGCGACGATTGGCGGCTGCCCGAGCTCCGGCAACGACTATGGCCGTTCTTCCCGCCGTTCATCAAGCGGCTGATCGTGAGAGAGTCGGAGAAGTCGGACTTGAAGCGGTCTGAGAGTGATGAGTCATGCGAGTCGATCGAAGGCGATGAACTGGCCTTCACCACGAAGATGAAGGTTCCGGCTTCAGCTGCTTGGGTGTGAAAAAACTGAGTGAAACAGGGGAGGATGTTGTGTGAGGATTTTCGATGGTCTGCTCTTCACCGCCTGAAAAGCATTGCATTCGCACGAAATCAGGTTGGTTTCAATGTCGGCTGGTATTCTAGTGACTAACCAGATCATACGGTACGGTATGCATGCAACATACAACACCCCAAGTGACATGTCTAGAAATTGATTCATTAGTAACGGAGATGTATGTCTCGGTATGAAAGCAAATTTAAGTACAAATTTCTGAACAGTATGCAAGTTTGATGCTGTACTCAGAGGTGGGGAGAACAGAGATTCGGGGTGCGGTATTGGGTGTGGGTAGGTGGGTAGTATGGAGGGATGACAGTAGGGGGTGTAGTGAAAGAGATTCCCAAGCCTACTTCCCCACTGACTGCTATGTAGAACAAAACTAGGGGGTAAATAGTCTCGGGTTTGGGGGCCAAGCCTTAGAGCCAGTTTCCCTGTGAGGTGGCATTTCACTTCAGGGAAATAGAAGCCTCTGGCACAAATAAAGCTTACGTAAATGATTTGTTCTCCCAATTACCATTTGCGTTTACATTTGCTCAGAGGTATTTTCTGCTAGCATACTAGAGAAAGCACTGGATTTGTTTTTTCTCAGATCCTCGGGTGCTCCAAACTCAGTGAGTTGCCCAAGTTCCAAGACAAGAACCTGAGAAAAGGGAATTGATTTTGGATGAACCAGAAAATATAAGTTTTTTAGCAGGTCCGACGTGTGCACCAAGGGAGGACACGCGTAAGGAGGCGTGGGGTGTGCGTGCGTAGGGTGTTGGCACGAAGGTGTGCGCACATGCACTCACAGACGTTGGCATGAAGGTGTGCGCACATGCACTCACAGACGTTGGCATGAAGGTGTGCACACATGCACTCACAGACGTTGGCATGAAGGTGTGCGCACATGCACTCACAGACGTTGGCACGAAGGTGTGCGCACATGCACTCACAGACGTGGGCATGATGGGTGTGCGCACACACATACATGGACGTGAGCAAGGGGCACATTCAACACTCTTCTGACTTGCCTGGTCGTAATCAAGAACCGTGGAGAGCCGGTGTGCAATGGTGATGACGGTGCTGTGCTTGAATGACTCCCGCAGGATGGATTTGATCGCTGCATCGCTCTCCCCATCCATGCTCGCTGTCGCTTCATCCATCAGCAACACGCGTGTTGATGCCAGCAACGCTCTGTATGGAAAACAAATACCAGGAACAAGAAGCAAGCAGAATATGTACTGCATCATAACTGCGCGTTTCGGCCAATACACAGTTCTGAGACACAGATAAGACCTGCACTGTGATTGGCCCAACGCATTCCCCTTGGGCGTACCTTGCGAGGCAGAGCAGTTGCCTCTGCCCCAGGGAGAGGTTCCCCCCGCCCTGAGCCAGGGCACCCTCTAACCCCCCCAGCAGCCCCGCCACCAGCGGCTTTAGGTGCACCGTTGCCAGCACCGACCACAGGGCCTCGTCACTGTGCTGCCTGTGATGGGGCATGGAGGGTTGGGGGGTGAAGTGCGGGATGGGAGGGTACCTTTTAGCTGCACCATTGCCAGCATCGACCACAGGGCCTCGTCACTGTGCTGGCTGTCAGGGGGGTTGGGAGGGATGAAGGGGAGGATGGGAGGGAACGGGGGGGATGAAGCGGGGTTTCGGAGGGTGAAAGTGAACAAGAGATCGAGTGAGTGACTGAGAGTACACATGTGAGGGACAGTGAGAAGATGTACAGCTGGACATACGCCACAGAAAGGGCACGGAGTTTCAACAGCGTCCCAAATTCCTGGTCAGAGAGAATCATGGTCATTGTGAGCAGCCATACCCCAGGGGATCAAGGTTGAATCGCAATGACTGGCTAAAGAGAACCGGCTCTTGAGGAATGGCCACCACCTGCAACAGGGGAGACCGTTGGAAATCAAACTCAGAAGTTTTAGTCAGATTATGCTTGTAAACTTCGGGCGAGTTATCCAACAATTGGACGGAAAGGCAACTGGTTGCTTACATTGCTTCTCAGGGTGGTGAATGGCAGAGATGCAATGTCCACATCATCAATGTAGAGATGTTTCCTTAAGACTTGTGAGTCGCTTTTGAGAATTCCCAAAACTCACAAGTCAGCTTCTAAGGCGCGGCAGAAGCCCACCTTGCTTCGCAGGGTGGCGAGGGGCAGCGATGCAATGTCCACACCATCGATGTGAATGCTCCCCGAAGACGCTTCCACCAACCGCAGCAGCGCGAGCATGAGGGTGGATTTTCCTGCACCTGTTGTGTTGAGGCGTGGCACACACACATGTAGACAACACACAACAGCTAGCGCTGTCTTAAGCCTTGCTACAGAATCTCAGAATGCATCCATGCCGAGTGTACTGAGATCACGTTTGAGATCTCTGAGAAACAAGGAAGCATTTTCCTCCTTGATCCAGCCCCAATGATGCTATGTTGGATCACAGAGCCAAACCTACAGATCGCCTCACCTGTTCGCCTTACCACACCTCACCTGTTCGCCCCACCACACCGCACTTCTCTCCCCCTGCGAGCTGAAAGCTCAAGCTGCGCAGCACTGCCAGCCCTGAACTGCCATACCGCACTGTCAGCTGCTCCACTCGCACTGCCCCTGCTGACGGCCACGAGGGGCAAACGGCGCTTCTGCTGTTCCTCTCCTCCTCCTCCTTGCTGTTTGGTGCTGCATCAGTGGCTTGGCAGTGGGTGAAGGGCGGATTGCGAGAGAATAGTGGCTTGATGATGTTGTCCATCTTAAAGGACAGGCGCCTGATTGCTGTTTGCAGTGCTCCGAACAGCAAGCTGGGTACGGAGGATTTGGTGGTGGGGCCTTCCTGCTGCTGCTGCTGCTGCTGCTGCTGTTGTCGTTGCTGCTGCTGCAGCTGCTGCCACTTGTTGTGCTGCTGATGCTTGGATTTACTTTTGGCAGGTGTAGGCTCTTCCCCTGGCAGCGTGGTGTACTCGAGTGTGCGCTCAACACTCGTGAACTGGCATGGACGGGGTGGGGTGTCAGAGGGCGGGGAGGCAACAATGCAGGTTCTAGAGGCCCCTCAAGGTGCGGACTCTTCACCTGGCAGCGTGGTGTACTCGAGTGTGCGCTCAACACTGGTGAACTGCGATGGACGGGGTGGGGTGTCAGAGGTGCAGGGATGAAACAATGCAGGTTATTGAGTTAGGCAAGTGCAAGATGGACGTGTCCCCTGCGGTTCTCGCAACGTGTGTTTTTTGAGAATTCTAAAAAAACACAGAATTCTAAATAAAACACAGAATTATAAAAAAACACAGAATTATAAAAAAACACAGAATTCTCAAAAAACACAGAATTCTAAAAAAACAAAGAATTCTCAAAAAACACAAGATGGACGTGTCCCCTGCGGTTCTCGCAACCATATCAAGCATGAGAATGGGATGTGGAGATCGAGCATGCATCATCATCAAGCTGCTTCACGTCACATAAGAGGTAAGAGAGCACAAGGGTGTTTGCCTCTCTAGTATCTATCCCATGGGTGCATGAGAATGTGATGTGAAGCGTCACATAAGACGTAAGAGAGCAATAGAGTGTTTGCTTCTCCATCAGCACACGGTGCGGAAGGAGTGAACGGTGCAGCACACCATGAACGAAGAAGTCGTGTTTTGAGTCGACTCAAAACACGAGGGAGTGAACGGTAGAGCACACCATGAACGAAGGAGCACGTTCCTGGTTCCCACCCCACCACGGTGCTCCTTTGTTAATGGTGCACTTGCCTCACTTCCCTCACACCCATGAGCATCGCAACAATCGCTCGCACCCTGGTCCCTTGCCTCTACCATGTTCTCCGGCTCTGATTCTTTACATGTTCCCTCAAACTTTGGCTCATTACACACGGTCCCTTGCCGAAGCTCGCACCCTGGTCCCTTGCCATTACACACGGTTGTTTACATGTTGGGAAGTTACTGGCTTTCAGAGAAGAATCAAAAGCTTCCTCGCCTCACCGTGTCCCTTCGCCTCGTCTCATCCTGTCCCTTCGCTTCACCCTCTCCCTCCCTTCGCTTCACCCTCTCCCTCTCTTCGCTTCACCCTCTCCCTCCCTTTGCTTCACCCTCTCCCTCCCTTCGCTTCACCCTCTCCCTCCCTTCGCTTCACCCTCTCCCTCCCTTCGCTTCACCCTCTCCCTCCCTTAGCTTCACCCTCTCCCTCCCTTAGCTTCACCCTCTCCCTCCCTTCGCCTCACCCTCTTCCCTCGCCTCAAAGTATACCGAGAAGTTTTCTGTTTACGATGTTCTCTCCCTGTCACCGTGTTCGTTCTCTCCCCTCACCTCCTCCCTCACCGTGTTCTCCAGCTCAACGCCATACTGCAGCGCCCACCGTAACGAGTCTGGTTTTGAGGCGCCTCAAAACTCGTCTCAGTTCACGCGGTTTTTATATGGGGAATATCTACATTGCATGGAGGTGTGCACGTAACTTGCAAAAGTTACTCGTGCGAGCGAAGTTTCCAAGGCTTATCGATAGCCCTGACGAAGACACCACGGAAGGCTGACACTTGTAACCTTGGGTTTTTACCCAGTGCTGTGTTGGCGAATGCCCATTGTTAGGCAATCTGGGTAGATGGGAACCTTGAATTCTGTTCGCGGTGTAGGTTGATTACTTAGCCTATGCCTAGCTGTTGGATATCTTTGTGTTCAGAAGCACTGATGAAGGCTTGGCGGGTTCTCCCGCCTTGCCGAAACATGTTTGCGACCTGTTCTGATTGAGTGATTTCAGTTCTTGCGATCAGAGTTCTCTTAGCTAGGGATTTTTTTACTCTTTTTCTTACTTGCTAAAGCGTTTCACTAGTACTGTTGCCCTTCCACCATGAGTGAGAACGCCGTACTGCAGCGCCCACCATAACGAGTCTGGCAGCCTTTCTGTCCCTCACTTTCCCCGCACCCCCTCCAACCAACCAACCTCCCCTCACCGTGTTCTCCAGCTCAACGCCGTACTGCAGCGCCCACCGCAGGGAATCCAGCACCCTTCCCTTGCCTCACTTCCTTCACAACAATAAACATCACAACCATTGCACCCCTGCCGCCCTCCCTCCTCCCCTCTCCCCCCCCGCCGCCCCCCCCCAAACATCCCTCCCGCCTCTCACCCTCTCCTCCCCCCTCACCGTGCTCTCCACCTCCACGCCATACTGCAGCGCCCAGCGCAGGGAGTCCAGCACCCTTCCCTTGCCTCACTTCCATCCCACCCATAAACATTACAGCCAGCGCAACGCACCCTTGTCTCTCCCCCCTGCCTCACCCTCCCCACCCTCTTCAGTACCGTGTTTTCGAGCTCCACGCCGTATTGCAGCGCCCAGCGCAGGGAGTCCGAAGACTTCCCTTCCCTCCCTTCCCTCACCCCTGGCTGTTCCCCAATCCCCACCCTTCCCCCCCCCCTCTCACCGTGTTCTCGAGCTCCACACCATACTGCAGCGCCCACCGCAGGGAGTCCGGCAGCTGCAGCAGATAAGACAAAGCCAGTGCGGCCATGGCGGGCGGCAGCGAGTGGCGCAGGGCCACGGCGGCGAGGGCGGCGGAGAGCAGGGCGGCGGCAACGAGGAGGTCCAATCGGAAGCCCAGCCACTCCCACGTGGCGATCCAGAATAGGTGCGGGGTGGCATTGGCGGTGACGTGGCGCAGGAAGAGGCGGTGGAAGCGGCGCTGCTGGGAAAAGGCTCGGATGGTTGGGAGGCCCTGAGAGGGGGGAAGAGGGGTAGGGAGTAAAGATTTCGTGGCAAGTTTGGGAAGCGCTGCGGGGAGAAGGGATGAGTGGGAAGGGGGTATAGACTTGCTGTTGGGACACACGGTGGCTGGCATGGGATGGGAAGTCAACCGCCTTCCTCAAGCTCCGGCCAGAATAGGTTCGGGCTGGCGTTGGCGGTGATGTGGCCAAGGAAGAGGCGGTGGAAGCGGTGCTGGTGGGAGAGGCTCGGATGGGGGAACGGGGAAGGGGAAGGGGAGTAGAGACTTGAGAGGTGAGCTTGGGAAGTGCAGAGGATGTAACAGTGGATGAGTGGGCGTTGTCTGCCTCTCTCAGTGAGTGAGTGAGTCCGTGCGTGGGTGGGTGGGTGTGTGCATGCGTGCGTGCGTGGTGGTGAGGAAGCGGGAGGGAGGGATGAAGAACAACTTGGAATTCACACCTCCATGGTGTTGAGGAAGCGGGCGAGCAGCACGGAGCGTGTTGTGCACTCCATGCGGCGGACCTCCATGGCAGCGCACACATACAGATGCCGCAGGTGCAGCAGCAGGTGCAGCAGCAGCAGCAGCATTGTTTTGAGTCGACTCAGAACACAGCTCACCTCCATGGTGGTGAGGAAGCGGGCGAGCAGCACGGAGCGAGTGGTGCATTCCATACGTCGGACCTCCATTGCCGTGCACACATACAGATGCCGCAAGTGCAGCAGCAGCAGCAGCAGCGGCAGCATGGGGATGAGTATCCACGGCACAGCTATGCATGCTGATACCACTGCGGCAACGCACAGGCCGAAGGGCTGCAGGCAAGTGGAGGACGGGAAGGATAGTACGGGTTTAGCGGGAGTGGGATGATGGAGAATGGAGATGGGAGAGTGGGTGACTGGGAGTATGGTGGGAGTAACTTTGTGTATTCACATGGTATCCAGCTGACATGAAACCCCTAACTCGTTTTGAACCCTCCTCAATCTTCCCTCCCTCCATCACGCTCCCCCACCCCTCTCTCGACCCTTCGACTCACATTGAGGAAGTCCAGCAGCAGCTGCGGAAGCACATTGTCAGTCACCCCGAGGTCCTCACTGAAGCGGTTCAGCACGCGGCCCGTGGGGTTGGGTTGGGTTGCAGTAAAATAACGCGAGTGGGGTGACTATTGAGTCTCACTCTCAACTCACATTCAGAAAATCCAGCAGCAGCTGGGGCAGCACATCATCGGTAACCCCGAGGTCCTCACTGAACCGGTTCAGCACGCGGCCCGTGGGGTTGCGGTGGAAGAAGGCCAGCGGCGAGGCGAGCACGGACGAAAGCATAAGTGAGTGCATGCGGGAGGAGGCGCGCAGCGCGGCGAAGTGGATGAGCAGCGAGGAGAGGAGGGAGAGGGCCACACAGGACAGGGCGATGGCTGCCAGCGTGACCAGTGGGTGCGGTGTGGTTTCCGGCGCCTCTGTCCACAGGCCCAGGAACCTTGGGGGGGAGGGGAGCGGAGGGGATTAGAGGAGAGAGATGTGGGTTGCGGTGGAAGAAGGCAAGCGGCTAGGCGAGCACGGAGGCAAGCATGAGTGAGTGCATGCGGGAGGAGGCGCGCAGCGCGGCAAAGTGGAGGAGCAGCGAGGCGAGGAGGGAGAGGACCACGCAGGAGAGGGCGATGGCCGTGAGGGTGGCAAGCGGGTGCGGTGTGGTCTCAGGCTCCTCCGTCCACAGGCCTCCGGGGTGGAGGGGAGGGGCGGGGAGGGAAGGGGAGGGGCGGGGAGGGGAGGGGAGGGGAGGGGAGGGGAGGGGAGGGGAGGGGAGGGGAGGGGAGGGGAGGGGAGGGGAGGGGAGGGGAGGGGAGGGGAGGGGAGGGGAGGGGAGGGGAGGGGAGGGGAGGGGAGGGGAGGGGAGGGGAGGGGAGGGGAGGGGAGGGGAGGGGAGGGGGAGGGGAGGGGAGGGGAGGGGAGGGGAGGGGAGGGGATGGGAGGGGATGGGAGGGGAGGGGAGGGGAGGGGAGGGGAGGGGATGGGAGGGGAGGGGAGGAGGGGCAAGAGTCATCAAGCATGGAGCAGGAGGGATGGGCAGATGTCCGATGGAAGAGGCACACAGGAGGCGTGGATGAGCAGTGAGACGAGAAGGCGAGAGGGCCATACAGGAGGGGGCGATGGCCGTGAGGGTGAGAAGTGGGGGAGGGGATGGCGAGAGGAGGTGATGGGGGGGCGTGCATGAGAGAGAAAGGGAGCGTGAGGGAGGAATTTCCTCACCAGCTGACGAGGGCGTTGGAGACGTGTGCGGCGAGGAAGAGGGCGGCAAAGAGCAGCAGAGGCAGCACGCGGATCTTTCTGGCGTAGCCCCAAAACACCGACAGGGGGATGGCACCGCGCTGCCACCCTTCCACGTCCAGCAGGCCTGCAGGCACACACAGCGATTGGGGTTAGCGTCGGATGGGACAGGGGGGAGCATGGAAACACACATGATCGCGTGGGACAGGCAGTGGAAAGCCACGCACACGTTTGCATGCCTACGTTTGCATGCCTACGTTTGCATGCCTACCTTGCTCATCACCTTCTGTGGACCCACTCTCCTCCTGCTCTCCCTCCCCCCTCCGAAAGAGGGAGTAACTCTTTGCTGCTAATGGTCCTTCTCTTGACTTGCACAACGAGCCCTCAGCAGCCTGGTCCTCAAGTGAGACACGCTCCCCCTCCCTGCATGCGTCTACCACTCCCTTCCCCACCTCCGCTGTCTCCACCTCAGCCTCTGTCCCTAAGAGCACCTCTTTCTCACTTCCTCTCAATGACGTGTTTCTATGAATGCCGTCCTTAGTCAACTGAATCTTCTCCACCTCATCCCCTGTCCCAATGAGGGCCGCAGCCTCTGCCTGCTCCACCTCTGCCCTTTCCCTCGCTTCCTCTCACCGACGAGTCCCCATGAATGCCCACCCTGCAGCCCCTCGTGCCGACTGTTGGCGCATCTGTGTCTCTCTTCGCTGCCTGTGCCACGATCTACACAGCTGCCACTGCTGCTGCCCGCTGTGTCGCCAGTTTTGCACCTCTGTGAATGAACAACGGTGCCGTCCACACCCGTGTTAGTGGTGACAGTTGCATTGCCAGCAGCAGCACAGTCACCGCCAGTGACAGTGGCACACATGGCACTGTCAGAGCCAGTGTCACGTTTGCTGCTGCAGACCACCGTGGTGCCGCTTTTTGCAGCTCCGTGAATCAGCAAACGTGCCCGTCCACACCCGTGTCAGTGGTGACAGGGGCACAGACGACCGTACCAGAAACAGTGACAGTGGCACACATGGCACTGTCAGAGCCAGTGTCTGAAACACCCCTCCCACCAGAGAGAGGTTGCCCCAGTGCCGGAGGGGGATGGTCACAGTGTTGTTGCGCAGAGGGCAGGGTGCATATGTCACTGTACCATGTGCTTTGAGGTGCCTCAAAGCTTTGAGGGGCTTTCAGACGTTGTGCAAAGGGCATAGGGGGGGTTGTCCGCAAGTTTTGTTGAGCAGAGGGCGGGCGCGAGGTCACTCCATGCGCCACACGTCCGCTGCTCTGCCGCTGTTTTCAGCATCCAACTACTCTGCTGCGCTGGGGGCATGAGGGAGAGGGAGGGGAGCAGAGGAGACAGAGGGAGAACAATTGTACTATGCACACCGAACAATTGTAGTATGCACAACGAAACAATTGTAGTATGCACACGAAACAATTTATATGAGTGCACCGAAACATTGTAGTATGCCACACCACACATTGTAGTATGCACACGAAACAATTGTAGTATGCACACGAAACC